AGAAGAAGAAGAAGAAGAAGAAGAAGAAGAAGAAGAAGAAGAAGAAAAAATAATACCCACAGGAGATATTTCAAGGTATCTACGTCTCCTTTCCAAAATACATCTGCAAAATCTAGTGCAAACTTCAAAACCAGATTTACCTTTGCTTTTGGAGGTGTGCTTCGGTGTTTTTGCTCCAGAAGCCGGAACAGGTTCTTGGTCATTTACAAATCGGAGAAACCACCGCCTCCGTAACTGTCTCAATTCAGAGTTTCTGGAGATCAACCACCGCGGTCCATCTTTCTGGTCCAGGTTGGATCCATACACTGTCTGCATGTTCACAAGAAGCTTAGAAGTCAAGCGAGGCATCTGAACTGGTCTGCTTTCTCCATTGGCATCCCACAGCAAAGTCTCAGCAATGGGTAGGCCCTGATTCCTGGAGGACGCTCGGGAGCCCTGCTGCAGAACCAAGCGAGATCGCTGTAGGAGGAGAAGGCTACCTGCCATCAAATAAGCAGCCGTGAGGAAAAAGAGCAGAAACTGGGTCCTCCGAAGAAACTTTTGTGGTCTGAAAAAGGATTTGGCCATACCCTTCCTGGGAAACTGAGCCACTCAAGCCTTTAGAACAGCTTTGAAGCCACGCCTTGGCTTCTGGCTAGGGCCTCCCATGAGTTCGTCCGATTATCTCAGAACCTTTCCTGTCTCAACTACGCTTCCTTCTGCAATCACCGCCAGCCTTGTCGCCATAGTTCTCTGCACGGAGGAGGTTTTAGAGGATCAAGAACATCCAGTCAACCATTCACAAGCATTTTCCTCGATCGTGGCCGGTCACACTTCAAAGACTCGGTTCCTCAGATCTGCAATAAGAAAGCACAATCTGTTCAGTTCCAGTTTATCAATTTGTATCCCTCCTAATCCGTTCTATTCCTCTTTAGCTGAAACCTAATCTGTAATTTACCACAGTCTGTTTCTATCAGAGTCTGTAAAAGAATAATCCTTCACAAATGCTGGATGAGACATAGGGTAGGAGAGAGAAACAAAACAGAGACTTTCAGCTGGTTGTAGTAGCTCATTGTTCCTTCTGCTTTCTCTGATTTTCACCCCTGAGTTCACCCTGAGAAAGTTTGGGAGGATAAAAAAAAAATGTTCTTTTAGCAGCTGTGAACTCAGAAAGCTCAGACTGCCCAAGGAGCTGCTGATACAGATCTACAGAGGAATTATTGACTCTGTCTGAATATTGAGTTGCACTTCTATAGCTGTCCGGTTTAGCACAGCAACCAAACAAGACAGGCACAGCCTCCAACAGATAGTTAGGACTGCAGAAAAAACAATTGCAACTAACCTGCCTTCCACTGAGGACCTGTACATTGCCTGACTCAGAAAGAGGGGCTGAGAAAATATCTGCAGACCCCTCACATCCTGGACAAAAACTGTTTCAACTCCTCCCCTCGGGACTCCACTATAGGACATTGCATACAAAAACAACTAGACACAATTTTTTTCCCCTTGTGCCATCATTCCAGTGAATACCTAATTACTACAGTATTGCCTTATGTTTAAATGTATTTACCCATGATCATATCAAGAGCAACTGTGTTCTCTTCGCTGATGATGTAAAGCTATTCAACGCCACAGACAATACTACAACCCTCCAAAAAGACCTTGACTATGTATCAGAATGGTCAATCAAATGGCAACTTCAAATCTCAACAAATAAATGCTCTGTCTTGCATATTGGCAGAAAAAATAAGAAAATAACATACAAGTTAAATAGTCAAGACCTTGTTGAGGATCCAAACTTTGTCAAGGATCTTGGAGTACTCATCTCAAATGACCAAAGTGCTAGAGCCCACTGTAACTACATAGCCAAAAAGGCATTAAGAGTTGTTAATCTAATCCTACGTAGCTTCTTCTCTGGTAATATCACACTACTAACTAGAGCATACAAAACATTTGCTAGATCTATACTTGAATACAGTTCATCAGTCTGGAACCCATATCATGTATCTGATATTAACAAAACTGAAAAAGTCCAGCAATATTTCACAAGAAGAGTTTTCCACTCCTCTACTCATTGTAGAATACCTTATGCCACCAGACTTGAAACTCTAGACCTAGAAAATCTAGAACTACGCTGCATCCGGTCTGATCTAAATATAGTATATAAAATCATACATTGCAATGTCCTACCTGCAAATGAATACTTTAGCTTCAATCATAACAATACAAGAGCACACAATAGATACAAACTCAAGGTTAACCGCATCAAACTTGACTGCAGAAAATACGACTTCAGCAACAGAGTGGTCAATGTTTGGAATACTCTACCTGACTCTGTGGTTTCTTCCCCAAACCCCAAAAACTTTAACCTTAGACTGTGTTCTATTGACCTCACCCACTTCGTAAGAGGCCTGTAGGGGGCATGCATAAGCACACCAATCGTGCCTACTGTCCCTGTCCTATTGTTTTTTATTCTTCTTATAAGTATCTAACTCATGTATTCAAAACTATATTTATTCTTATACCTGTATCTTGTAAGCGACTGAAAAATCAAATAAATACTAAATACTGAATATTGCTATTATCCTTTTCATCTTTCCTACAACCTTCTCCAATTGATATCTTATGATTATATTACTTTGTTTTTTGTATGTACAGAGAACTTACGCACCCAGGACAAATTACTTGTGTGTCCAATCACACTTCACCAATAAAGAATATTCAATTCTAATTCTAATTCTTATTTTCTTATTCTATTCTATTCTACTCTACCCTACTCTATATTGATTTCAGTGTCTAAAATGGAACCATGCAGAAATGAATTCAGACCCTATTTTAAAACTTGCTACATAACCCTATTTTCAATCAAAATATCCTTGGATATTGGGTGGGCCAGCCAAGGAAAAGTTAAAACTTAATTTAAATTAAAGCCTAATTAAAACTTAGCAAAATTAATTGAATAGAGTTGAAAAGATTGTTCCCCATGTATTTAACAATTATCCCCTTCTGGAACATTAAAATTACATCACTGCCAGTTGTTTCAGGAGCTCTGAACTGCAACCAAGTCTCAGATGGGGCTGTTGACTGTGTGTTCTTCTTTTAAAGCACCTAATTTGCATTCCCAGGATTCATAAATCAGAATATAGTTATCCATATTTCACATTCCTCCACATTTTCCATTTCACTTTTTTCAAGAAGAAAATGTGCACAAGCACATATATTTTAGGCAAATACTGATAAAAAGAGAACTTTAGGGGAAATGCAAATTTTAGAGAGTAAATCTACGTTTAGAGAGTAAATACAGATGTTCATACTATCTTTGAAAACTCTATGAAAAAGAGTTTTATGTTTGACCTTATGTAATAGTGACACAAACTGGAACTAGACTGATTTATCCATTCCTAAAGTAATAAATATGCCCGTGTGCCAAGCCTAGTTAATGATAATTGAATCCATATAGTTTTCTTGGAAATAATATAGGTTTGCCATGGCCTTTCTCTAAGCTGTTTTTCAAATTCCCAAACTAACCTATGGGGATTTTCGGATGGGCGCTCAGCCAATTACAAACTAAGTCCAATTCTGCATAGCTTCCTAAATCAACAAAATAAGTGCCCATAATCCCTACCAAAGGCACTTTTAAAACTATTATTTTCCCCTCTATGGGATTTTTCCTGTGGTCTTGATTTTCAAGGAATAGTTTCTGAATGTTTGTGTCAGCTCCAATGATCAAATAAACTATCCAAAATCAATGTCTGTGGAGATTGTTCAGTCATCCAGGTCATGATTGTCCCAAAGGTGCTTTTGTTTCTAGAAGCAACCAAAATCAAATAGAGTATCAAAAGTTTGAGTGGCTTGTGTTTAAAATAGTAAGACCTGTCCATGGTACAGGTAATCCTCAATTTATAACCACAGTTAGGATCGGAACGTCTGTCGTTAAGCGAGGTGATTGGAAGTGAGTCATTTCTGATTGTTATGACCTTTCTACCATAGTTGTTAAGTGCATCATCATGGTTGTTAAGTGAATCAGACAGTTGTTAAGAGAATCTGGCTTCCCCATTGACTGTGCTTATTGGCAGCCAGCTGAGAAAGTCAAAAATGGAGATCCTGTGATCCTGGGATACTTCAACTGTCATAAACTCATGCTGGTTCCCGAACATCCAAAATTTGATCACATGATCACAGAGATGCTGCAATGGTTGTAAGTGTAAGGAGCAATCATAAGTCATTGCAAAACAACCATAAAGTGAAATACTAATACCACTCTATAAAGCCTTTGTAAGAAGACCACACCTAGCCACTACATGTAGTTTTGTTCACCACACTATAAAAAAGATGTTGAGACTCTAGAAAAAGCACAGAAAAGAGTAACCAGGATGATTAAGGGACTGGAGACTAAAACATACGATGAATGGTTACAGGAACTGGGCATGGCTAGTCTAGTGAAGAGAAGGACCAGGGGAGACAAGATAGCAGTCTTCCAATATTTGAGGGGCTGCCACAGAGAGGAAGGGGTCAAGCTATTTTCCAAAGCACCCAAAGGCCAGACAAGGAATAATGGATGGAAACTGAACAAGGAGAGATTTAACCTGGAAATGAGGAGAAACTTTCTGGCAGTGAGAGCAATCAACCAATGGAACAGAAGTTGCCCTCAGAAGTTGTGGGAGCACCATCACTTGAGACTTTCAAGAAGAGATTGGACTGCCATTTGTCAGAAATAGTGTAAGGTCTCCCGCTTGGGTGTGGAGTTGGACTAGATGACCTACAAGATTTCTCCCAATCTGATTATCTGTTCTCTGTATAAATGCGAGCTGGTTGCCAAGAAGCTGACATGCAGTCTCATGACCACACATGGCCCAGCCCTCAGAACCAGGTCGTAAGTATCTCAGGGGAGGTTCATCATAACTTCAAATGGTCGCTAACCACTAGTCATAAATCAAGGGCTACCTGTAATCTAATCCAATCATTCTTTTATTATCATTGCTGATAAAATTATTTATTTGATTGTGATAAAATTATTTATTTGATCATGATAAAATTATTTATTTGATCATGGCTGCTGATACAGGTTTACAAAATTGCTGATAAAATTATTTATTTTATCATTGTTGGTGATACAGTTCCACAAAGGACTGCTTGACTCTGTCATTTGCACCTCTGTAACTGTCTGGTTTGGCACAGCATCCAAACAAGACAGAGACAGACTTCAACGGATAATACTGCAGGAAAAAACAAAACAATTACAACCAACCTGCTTTCCATTGAGGACCTGTACTAGTCAGAAAGAGGGCTGTGAAAATATCTACAGATTCCACACATCCTGGCCATAAACTCTTTCAACTTCTTCCCTCAAAGTGATACTAATGGGTATTGCACCTAGAAAACAAGGACAATTTTTCCCCATGCCATTGATCTGCTAAACAACTAATTTTCACAACACTATCTTATGCCCTGGGATGTCAAACTACCTAGTTGGACTGTATTACTATTATCCTTATCATGTTTCCTATTACCTACTTCCTTAGCTTCTTATGAGTATAACTTCGTTTGTATCACATGATTTATATTGTTTTTATTTAGTATCCTAGTATAATTTATGTTGATCACTTATTTAGTATCCTATGACTATCATTGAGTGTTGTATCCTATGATTTATGAGGATTGTATTTATGATTATGATCATGATTGATCTCTTGTTACTTGGATGTACACTGAGAGATTATGCACCGGAGACAAATTCCTTGTGTGTCTAATCATACTTGGTCAATGGAGAGAAGGACCTGTACATTGATTACTGTGCAGACTGTATCAAAAGAAAGTCACACAACCCACAACATCCAAACCTTCTTCAACCAATCCA